ATAGCACTATGTACAAGCAAATTGTGGGAAGTCTCATGTACTTAACAGCAACAAGGCCTGACATCATGTATGGTGTTAGTCTCATCAGTAGATACATGGAGAGTCCCACCGAAAAACACCTTCAGGCTACAAAGCGTATTTTACGCTATTTGAAAGGGACATCATCTCTTGGGTTATTTTACAAGAAAGGAGAAAGATTAGATTTGCTTGGTTTTACTGATAGTGATTACGCTGGTGATATGGATGACCGAAAAAGTACTTCTGGTTATGTGTTTATGCTTGGTTCAGGGGCTGTCTCATGGTGTTCAAAGAAGCAACCAATTGTTACTCTTTCGACCACTGAGGCTGAGTTTGTGGCTGCCACCTCGAGTGCTTGTCAAGCTATTTGGTTAAGGAAGATTCTTGGAGAACTTCGGTTTAAACTAGAAGAAGCAACGACAATTTTCTGTGACAACAATTCAGCCATCAAATTGTCAAAGAATCCAGTTCTACATGGGAGAAGCAAGCATATAGATGTGAAGTATCATTTGTTGAGGGATCTTACAAAAGATGGTGTGATTGATCTTGTTTTCTGCAGAAGTGAAGATCAAGTTGCTGATTTGTTCACAAAACCTCTTAAAATGGCCACATTTCAGAAGTTAAGGAAGCTCCTTGGAGTTTGTTCGATGGATGCCTCAGATTAAAGGAGAGTTTATTTCTACACATTTAAACTGATCACTTGTAGTATCAGTTTAAGGGAGGGCATGTTAGAAAGAGTCAAAGTTGTTTTTTTTATGTTTTTCAATTAATAGCTAGTCGTGTGTTTCTGTTACTTAGTGGGTCCTAGTTTTCAGGACTTAGTTGGCAGCATGTTGCTGCACACGTTCACCATTTTGAATCAAAGTAGTTGCTATTTTTGTTGGGATCTCTTCTGTTGATGTACAGCCTATAAAACGGCTAAGTTGTTAATTTCAATTATATGGACGAATGCAGTAAGCATCTTCAACCAGTGTGTCTCTCCTTTCTGGGTTTCTTTTTGGTGCTTGCAAAGCACAGCCATCTTCTGCATTTTTACTGTATCACGGCGACGACCCCTACGCGCTCGTGAGGGACGCGATCAGGGAGATCCGGTTCCACTTGGGGACGTTCAGGCTTCTCGAAGAGAAGGCCCCTCCCGCCATCGTGGACAAGTTCGGCTGGTGCACCTGGGACGCCTTTTACCTTTCGGTGCACCCGCAGGTAAAAATTCATGTAATTGTTAAGGTGTTTCATTTGACAAAGCCGATGTTTACACTGATCGGGTCTGATATTACATGTCTCATCTGTTTTGTAGGGAGTGCGGGAAGGCGTGAAGGGATTGGTGGAGGGCGGGTGCCCACCGGGCATGGTCCTGATCGACGACAGGTGGCAGTCCATCTGTCACGACGACGACCCCATCACTGATCAAGAAGGCATGAACCGGACGGCTGCCGGGGAGCAAATGCCGTGCCGGCTAATCAAGTTCGAAGAGAACTACAAGTTCAGGGACTACCGGAGCAAGAGAGGCGACTCCGCCAAGGGCATGGGGGCCTTTGTTAGGGACCTTAAGGAAGAGTTCAGGAGCGTGGAGCACGTGTACGTGTGGCACGCCTTGTGCGGCTGCTGGGGCGGGTTGAGACCCGGTGTCCCGGGCATGCCCGAATCGAAGGTGGTGAAGCCGGGGCTGTCGGAAGGGCTGGGTACGACAATGGAGGATCTGGCGGTGGACAAGATAGTGAACAACGTGGTGGGGCTGGTCCCGCCGGCGAAGGTGCACGACATGTACGAGGGGCTTCACTCCCACCTCGAGTCGGTGGGGATTGATGGCGTCAAAGTTGATGTGATCCACGTGAGTCATCCTGCTTTTTCTCCATGCTCATTTCTTTCTTTTTGTCACCACTTTATGCCTTAGGATCTTCCGGTTATTGTGACAAACAGAAGAGGGACGTAATTTAATTTGCAAAACCAGTGCCTCATCAATAAAATATGGACTAGATTAGCTCACGAATGCGATTTATAGATGCAGAACAACAATTCATATAATGACGTAAGTCTCCACCGTGTTATACTGGCATGAGTTCTGCACTGCTAGTTGAGCAACTTCGGTTTTTCCAATTCTTGAGCCATTCAATTGAACATGAAAGGAAAAACCCTTTACATGAGTGTACAATCGAGATTTCGATTGCAATTGCAATTGCAACTGCAGGGTTGTATAGTTGAAAGCAATGAGTCCACAGGGCGGTGGCTCCAGTTTCTTTTTTGGCGTTCCTCCTGGTGTTAGCCTGTTAGGTAAGTAACTGGCATTTGCACTCAACATATTGCACCATGTCAGTTCTCATAATCCGACCCTGCATGGGTCGGGTTGTGAATTCGTATTCATCGTCTGAATTTTGGTATGACTGCCTATGCTTTTACCACCCAGATTTCACAAACTCACTCTGCAGAGATAATTGTCTGATCTTTAATGGTTTGCATAGCTTCCACACATTCTATACTTAGTAATCACCTACTTACACACGATTGGCCATCAGATGCCCCATGGATCAATCTTTGTTTAGCTTATATCTTGATATTTATCTATGTATTAATTATCTTAGCCATTGCGGTTTCAGTTACTGGAGATGCTCTGCGAAGAGTTTGGAGGCCGGGTCAAGCTAGCTAAAGCTTACTACAAAGCGCTCACTGCTTAGGTGAGGAAGCATTTCAAAGGAAACGGGTCATTGCGAGCATGGAGCGCTGCAACGATTTCATGTTCCTCGGTACAGAGGCCATATCTCTTGGACGAGTCGGTATGTCTATCAAGTTCGATCCGATCACGAGACAAACTCGATTGTTCTTGTGTGTTTATCGGCTGAGTTGGTTTCTTAATTCAGTCAGGCGACGATTTCTGGTGCACCGACCCCTCAGGCAACCCGAATGGGACATTCTGGCTCCAAGGGTGCCACATGGTTCATTGCGCCTACAACAGCTTATGGATGGGCAACTTCATACAGCCAGACTGGGACATGTTCCAATCAACCCATCCGTGTGCAGAGTTCCATGCCGCTTCTCGAACCATCTCCGGAGGGCCAATCTACGTGAGCGACTCAGTCGGCCAACACAACTTCGACTTGCTGAAGCGCCTGGTTTTGCCAGACGGGTCCATCTTGAGATGCCGGTACTACGCACTCCCCACTAGAGATTGCTTATTTGAAGACCCTTTACATGATGGGAAGACCATGCTCAAGATTTGGAATGTCAACAAGGTAAAGAACAAAGAAAGTTGCCTCTGGTCCATCTATTGAGTTCTCGGAAAGATGTCTCCGAAAATTAGCACTGAAATAACATTTTCTTGCGCATACCAAATCAGTACACGGGAGTCATAGGAGTGTTCAACTGCCAAGGAGGAGGATGGTGTCCCAAGTCCAGAAGAAACAAGAGTGCGTCCGAATTCTCGCGCATTGTGTCGTGCTATGCAAGTCCTAAGGACATTGAATGGAACAATCCCAAGAATCCTATCCCCGTGCGAGGAGCAGATGTGTTCGCAGTGTACATGTTCCGGGAAAAGAAGCTTAAGCTCCTGAAGTCCTCGGAGAGCCTAGAGATTTCCCTAGAGCCATTCAACTACGAGCTCCTGACGGCTTCGCCCGTGACTGTATTGCCAAGGAGATCAGTCCAATTCGCGCCCATCGGGTTGGCGAACATGCTCAACTCCGGCGGAGCAATTCAATTGCTGGGCTTCGACGAGAACACGGTGAGGATCGGAGTGAGGGGAGCTGGAGAGATGAGGGTGTATTCGTCGGAAGAGCCGAGAAGCTGCAAAATTGATGGGGTGGGAGTGAAAGTTAGGTACGAGGAGAAGATGGTGAGGATTGAAGTTCCATGGCCGGACTCCTCATCTTCTGAGCTCCCTGTTGTTGAATACGTGTTTTGACACAAAAGGGTTTCTGAATCTTCAACATGTAATTCTCTCTTTTTTCAATGAAGATCATAGTTCATAGCCATTCCACTTCATGGTTTTGTGGCCTGAAGTTCTCATAGCAATCTACTATTTGGCAAAGGGCTTGTTGCGGGGAAAGTGTGTGTTCATTTTTTTATCTTATTTAAAGGAATTTGTCTATTGAAAGACATATTCCAGATCTAAAAATATTCATGAAAACATGACTATGCGTATTTATATTTCCCATCGAATACGTTACTGTTGAAAGTACATAAATATCCATATCACGAGTCATTCGTTGAGGATGACAAAACAAAAAGATAGCGGGAATGTAAAAATAAATCCTTTTTTTTAAGGTTCTCAATTTGCTCAAGTGCAAGTGACATGACATTTCATGTTAAGACTTTACAAAAAGCATCTTAGTGATGCTTAATTTTCATTACGAATGACTAAAATTCTTGCAAACAATAACCCTCTACAGCTAAAAACAATCTTATTCACTGATTACTCAAGAGATTCACATATCCTATGACCGGGAGGTAAATTGGCTAAAACAATCGACTTTGCTACAAATAAAGGTGTGCGGCCCAATGGCAAGTCGAGGAAATGCATAACGGATAAAATTTCACCGGTTTTTTTTTTCCCTCGCTCTTTTAGTAGTAACGGTCAGGTGATGTCTCGGGTGAATTTTCACGCATCATACTAAGCCCATCATTTTCTCCTTCCATTGAAGATAAGCAGCCATCGTCTCGAAATTTAGAAATTCTTGAAGAGTTTGATCAAGTGCCACCCGCCCTTGATTGCCAAAATAGTTACGTCGAATACCAATCGAACATGTACGGGGAGTTGAAAAAAAGAAAAAAGGATTGCGTTCTTACCACGTCGTATAAAGTGGCGGGAAGGGAAGCAGGAAAGAAGGCTAGAGCCACCGGTAAAATCACCGACTCGTCGTCGTCGTCGTCCCGCGAAAGCCGAAACCTTTCGTTGGGGAGGGACGCGTGACGCGGCTTGATTGGCTCCCTCCATACCAACCGAAAGACCAAAGCTTCGTTCGTCCGCGGATCAGCGAATTGCTCGCATCGAGAAACCCTAAAAAAAGTTGAGGTGGTCAATTTCGAGCAGCAGGAGCTGGCGCAGGACCACTGTTCTTGTCTCGATCCTCCCCTCCCGTTCCTCGCTTTATATAGATCGGCGACGATTCCATCCGTCGATGAGGACGTCGGAGTACAGGGGCAAGCCTCCGGCCATGGACTTCTCCGGCTCCCGGCCCGGCGGCTTCTCCGACGACGACAGCGACGCCGACGACGCCTACGACTTCCAGCTGCGCGGCTCCTGCAGCTTCAACTTCCACCCTGAGCACTCGCAGCCGCAGCCGCAGCCGCAGCCGCAGCCGCAGCAGCAGCGGCCTTCTTCTTCCTCCAGAGTACGTTCTCCTCTTCTTTCCTCGTACCCCTTTGCTGTAAGCACGCCCTATTTGGGTGGTCAGTGAACTGTTGGCGGCTTGGAAATGGGTGCTTCGCGAGTTGTCTGCTCGCGAATCGCGAGATCGAGCTCTCTAGTGGTCCCAAATCACGGCACGAACCCGCGTATGGTTCGGAGTGAAAGGGAAAGGGGAGGGTGAAGAGAGAAGAGATTTGAAGAAGTAGAGATTCACAGTGAAGAGGAATTCATGAGAACATGAAGATCGGGGAGAGAGAAAGCGAGTAGAGAGGATTATAGCACAGCTAGTGAGATGTCCCCTGTTACAAGAGCATATAAACTCTTACACGATGCTCACCGAACGATCACAAGTTGATCTATGAGTGAAAATGCTCGGAATGCTGTCACACTTGATTCGCCTTAGGCTTATCACAGAAGTGTTCCTCAATTTTGGATAGTTGCTCTGGTTTTTTGGCCATGAAATTCTTGATAGGTTGCGTATCACAGTATCACTAGCCTCCGCCACTTGCCCGTGACGTGCCCTCGAGCCGTGATGATATCCTCCTCTATAAGTCTGCTTCTTCTAAAGGGATGATCTTGAAACTTAAGCTGAGATGATAAGATTGACTTCATCGACTCGAGTCTTCCGGTTACGGAGAAACTATACCTGAATTTCCGTTCCTGTACAATATCTTTGCCTCGGATAGCATCATAGAGACTCTTTGGCTATTTTCTTGCCATGTGCTCACTCTGTTGGGCATTCTCACTTGTGCTAAACTTGTTGGTTATCAAGATACTAGTTGCTTACTTAAGTGGCGGAAAATTTTCTCGGCAGTGAGTTTTCTGAATATGAACTCGACTATTTCGTTAAATTGTTTGCTGAAGTTGACCCTCTATTTCATCTATTTCTGCTGTTGATGAATCTATCTCTCGCTAGAGATAGAAATGGTTTTAGTTATGCCTTCCTTACAGCACACGACGCTGCAAACTTGATGGATTAACTTTTATATTTGCAAACCTGGACAGAGGAAGGAGCGAGTTTCCTTCAATGAAACATTGATTTCTTTGATTGAGCGCAAGATGAAGGAGCACAATGATGAGGTACTTCATGCTGTGGAGGGCGTCAGCGCAAGACTGTCTCAACTGGAGACCAGGACGCGCCAACTAGAGAACGCTGTGGACGATATGAAGGAATCTCTCGAGTATAATCATGGGAAAACTGATGGAAAGCTCAGAGAGCTGGAAAACCTGCTGAGAGAGGTATTTCAACTTCAGCTGTCTCAGATTTGTGACGATATTATTGTGGTGCCTGGCTTGGAAAAGCACCATAGAATATGGACAATGGACTATGAATTTTTTTGTGAGTCATTTTAACTTGGTAACGGAGCTTTTTGGGAATCGTTCCTGCACCTGGATGTATATTCATGTTGCTGGAAGTTAATGATAGTTGGCGGTTGGTATGCAGCATGCTAATAATTCTCTCCTTAAGACGTATGAAGTGTCAGTGGTAGCGGTAGTACTGATCCCTCTCTTGTAAACATATCGAAGTTCTTTGTTTTTGCAGTTACTTTTACTTCCAATACTAAATTGCTAATATTGTACTGAAATGTAGTTCTTTTCACATTCCCTCAACTATTGCACAGTGAGTGTTCTAATGTTTCTCGACTTAGTACACTCTCAACAAGCTTTTGATATTTTTATTTTGTAGGTTCAAAGCTGTACTGGGGATTTGAGAGATAAAGAAGACATAGCTCATGCTCAGCTGCAAATTTTAAAGCTTCAGATCCTAAAAAGCGAAGCACGAGAGGAAAAGAAGGAAAATTCTACTCAGACAAACTTGGCACAGCAGAAAGCAGCTCCCGAGACTCGACAATCCACAGAGCCACTTCCGGTCCCTGTTGTCTGCTCCCAACAATTTTCATCTTTGCTTCCATATGTGTCTACTAACCTACCTCATTCCGATGCTTTTACAATACCATTGGGAACACCACCACAGCTTCCATCCCAATTGGCCCAGAGCACCAGCCCCTTTGTTTCACAACCAGAACTGAATAGCCAACCACCCGCTCAACCTCCAAAGAACAGCCATCATCAACACTACACACCGCTAGTTTCTCATTCACAGTCGATGCCTCCAGTGCCTTATTTTCCATCTTTACCAGCAGTACCGTATCCCTCAAAACCAGCACCGACACCTCAAGATTTCAGACTGCCTCCACCATATGGTGCAGTGGCTCCCCAAACCCATTTTCACGATAAATACCACAAGCCACTAATTTCTCATTCACACCCAGCGCCTCAAGGGCCTCCTCTTCCGTCTTCACCAGCGCTACAGTTTCCATCAAATCCAGCACCGACACCTCAAGATTTTGGTTTGCCCCTGCCGTACAATTTACCTTCTACCCAGCCACATCATGAACCTACCCATGACCTCAACGAGCTTCCTTACATGCCATCTCAGAACTATCCCCCAAGTATTCATGCGCTTCCAGGGATGCCCTTCATTTCTTCCCATCAGTTGCAGTCTCCTTTCGGCAAGACGTATGATCAGCCCCCAAGTAGGCCTTATTCAGAATTTCTTGGCAGATATAGTTCGGCAGGAGGGAGCTCCAATTTCAACAATGTTGATCCTCGAGGAAAGTATAACTCAGGACCTGGCAATTCATCTGCGAGAACTTCATCTCCTCCAGCCCCTGGCGCGGGAAATGACTACTCGCAATTGCCGGTCGCCCGGATTTTGCCGCATGCTTTACCAACTGCCTCTCCCATCGGTTCTGAATTGAGTTCCGGGGAGACCAAAGGGAATAGGGCGCTGATGGATGATGCCATCGACAAGGCTGTTGCAATGGGGTTCAGGAGGGACTTGGTAAGAGCTACTGCAAATAGGCTGGAAGCAAAAGGGCAGCATGCGGACCTCAATCTGCTGTTAGACACTCTGACGAGCACTGGGGAGTCTCGGGGATAAGTCGCAGGTTGAAGCAACGACATGCTCTGTTCACCATCTTTTGCCTTCCCATGTGGGTGACTGTTAAATGTTGCGGAGCTTCTAGTTTTTGCTGGTGAAGAACATGATGCACATGATGTATATATTATATGGTTGGTGGAGCTTCTAGTTTTTGCTGGTGAAGAACATGATGCACATAATGTATATATTATAAGCTTGGTATATATTATATGCTTGGTGTGACAAACTCTCAGTTTCTGATCGTATGAAACCTATCAAACTAGCTACATCTCTCTCTCTCCCTAAGTGTCAGTTAAACATGAAACGCATACTGGTATTTACGATATTCTTGTTCTGTGAATGGGCGTGTTTTGCCGAGTGTGTGGAACAGTATATCGTCTGCGACTGTTTTTTTCTGAATGGAAGGTTGAAATCGAACCGTGTGTTCTGATTTGAGGATTCTTCGAGTTAGTTCACCAATCTGCTCCGCGAATTCGGGTTTTTAACGGAGAATATAAGAGTTGAGAGCAAGCATATGTTCATGTCACCTTAATGTAGCAGAACTCGGCCGCAGTAAAGTCATATTCATTCGATTACATGCTCGCATAAACAAATCCCAAAGTGAAGCATCATCATCTCTCTTGTCCACTTCTCACACAGAAGACGACCGTGACAAGCGACGACCTCTATAAGCTCTCTTGTTCACGTCCTCACAGCTTCACGGGCCGTGGGCCTTGTCCTGGATGGCCTGGTCCATGTCCTTGGTCCTCTGGCCCAAATGGCCCGCCGTGTCCAGCGTTTTCCGCTGGGCTTGCTCGGCTTGCTCCGGCAGGTGCTCCCTCATGCTCCTCAGCAACCACGTGAAAAAAGCCAGCCCCGCGATCCCAAACGCCCCCGACGTCAAGAACCCGGCGGCCGCGAGGCCGATGGCGAATGCTGCGGGGATGAGGACCAGGCTGAAGAGGATGAAGAGCGGGGCCGCGACGGTGAGCCCGAAGAGGGTGCCCGCGAGAGTGAGGCCCGCCAGTAGGAGGAGGACACCGCCGAGCGGGACGAGCGTGACGACCGTGAGGACCTGGGCGGTCGAGGGGCCCCTCTCGGAGAAGAGGTCCCCAGAGCATCTGGGTCGAGGCGGCCAGGGGTTGCTGGCGGTGAGGGCGGAACTGGAGCTGCTGCGGCTGGTGGTGCTCCACCATTTGGTTGCCGGTGGTGCTAGGAGGTGTTTCGACAGAGTTGATCAAGTAGTGAGAGTGATAGTCCGATGCAGAAGATTAGTACGCAGAAGAGGCGAGAGAGCGTGGTTGAACATTTTAAGGAGGGTGGAGAAGTGGACACGTGGATGTTTTTGACACGTGGAATGGTGTGAGAGCGCGAGGGGGATGCATGAGAAACAAGTCCATGGTGTCGTCCAAGCCTAGTGTGGATAATCTTCCTATAAAGACGATTTGTTTCTTTTCTTTGAGAGAGGAGTGGGACTCTATATTTGACGGGGACTTCAACACTGTTGTGTTTTCTGTGTGGCAATTTCTCTTTGTTTATATAACGTGATATGAAGACTTCACTTTATTTGAAAATCGATTAGGTTTGCTAGCTTAAAAGCAAATTTATTTATTTAATGTGACACACGATCGCTTTATCAAAAAGTGATTGGCTTGCTCTTCTACATCTACAATACAACGTCCATTACATAAAAATTCTTTCTAGTCTCTTATACAGCGGGCAATTCCTCGCTCACGCAATTGCAAAGGGTGTAATATAAAATGCGAAAAATGTGGTTATTCTCGCTCGACGAATCCAGCAGCTTAAGTGAACCGAAACAAACATAATACTCCGGTAAGTCTTAGGGTTTCCGGATACTTATGTACTGACTGATGCAAAATATTGTTGACTTATGAAAGATTACTTTTGTAAGCCAAACAATCATGATCACATGTTGGATTGCAAGTGGCATGGTAAACAATATTGAAGGTTGCTGGTGTAGGTTTGGTATAAATCCATATAATCTCTCTTAGGAATAAATATTCGGTGGTTTTTACTCATCAGGTCATCAATCTACGTGGTGTACATATTTTTTTCTTTCATCTAATTATCATTTGACACATATATTCTGATGTAGAATCAACTTAAATAAATTAAAAGTCTAATTTTTTTCTTTTTTCCCTCCTCAGTCGTAGACACTACTATGGCCGCTCATATCAATCACTGTTGGAAATCGCAAAGGATTTTTCAGATCTCAAGGAGACTCTTCGTAACCCAAGTTCATCTTGATACTTGGAATCTAGAAAGTTGTTACCTAGGAGGTTATGTCTTTTAAGATAGCCTTTAATGTTATGAATCTAGACGTGTCTGTTCATGTGACTAGAGTAAACGTAGAGTCGTGTGTTAATCCTATATATATGTGCGTCTTGTAATCTTTTTTTATATACAAGTGAATACAATAGTATTTCAAATTTTCTTCTAACATTTGGTATCAAAGCCAGTTGTCTAAGTTTTGAGAGATCTCGAGTCAGATGGCTTCTGTGAGTAGTGCCGGGAATGTCCAACCTCAACTCCCAAGGTTTGATGGGAAGAATTTTGAGCATTGGAAGATCCAGATAGAGGTGCTGTTCGGATTCCAGGAGCTGACCGAGATTATCGAAGAAGGATTCGTCGAGCCAGAAGCAGCGGCAGATTCGACAACGGAGGAGCAGAGGACGATAAAAGAAAATCGTAAGAAAGATCGTAAGGCTCTCTTTTACATCTTTCAAGCGATAGATTCGTCAATCTTTGAAAAAGTGGTGAATTCGAAGACGGCGAAGGAAGCATGGGATACTCTCATCAAAATTTACAAAGGCGTTGAGAAGGTCCAGAAGGTTCGGCTTCAGACTCTTCGTCGACAATACGAGCTCCTTCAAATGGAAAAGTCGGAGTCCATTTCTGACTATTTCTCACGCGTATTGGCTCTTGTCAATAAAATGAAGGCCAATGGTGAGACTTTTGGTGATCAACAGATCGTCGAGAAGATTCTTCGGACGCTAACGTTGCAGTTCGAATATATTGTGATTTCCATTGAAGAATCCCGTGATCTCTCAGTTTTGACTGTGGATGAGTTGATTGGCTCTCTACAAATGCACGAGCAACGACTCAAGGAGAAGTCCAAGACGGTGGAGGAGGCTCTACAAAGCCAGTGGGTGTTACCCGATAAAAAGAAAAATCTTTCTACTCAAAAGAAAGATAAAAGGCGGCAGGAGAAGCAACCTCGACAACAAACAGATAAGTCCCATATTCAGTGTTTTAATTGTAAAAAGTATGAGCATTATAAATCTGAGTGTCGAAGCAAAAGGATTGGTGGTCAAAAGTTTCATGCTAAAGTAGCAAGTTCTGTCGATAGATTTGTTGAAAGCAATGATGAGCATGGTAATGCTCTTTTATTCACGTGTAATGCTTCAAATGGAGAACCAGAAGAATGTTTGGTACTTAGACACCGGATGCAGTAATCACATGTGTGGCGAGAAGGAGTTATTCTCAAATTTCGATGACACCTTTCGTTCGAAGGTGAGGTTCGGGAATAATGCAAAATTTCCTATCACGGGAAAGGGGAGCATTAAAATCAAAACAAAAGATGGGTCGGTTCAAAACATTTCCGACGTTCATTATGTTCCCGGTCTTCGAGAGAATCTCTTGAGCATGGGACAGTTGTCCGAGCGAGGCTATCACATGATCATCAAGGATGAGGTTTGCACGATTCATGATGGCAAAGGAGGATTAATTGCAAAGGTAAAAATGGCCCGAAATCGCCTTTTTCCTTTGTATATTAATTATGCTATGTCATGTTTTAGTGCCTCAAAGGCAAGATTCTTCATGGCTTTGGCACAAGCGGTTCTGGACATGTGAATTTCGACGCCTGAAGCTGTTGTGTCGAAAGAAGATGGTGCGAGGTCTCGCCCAAATTTCTTCTCCAAAGGAGATATGTGAACCATGCGTCATTGGGAAGAAGTCCAGAGAAAGCTTTCTTTCAGGAAAATCATGGAGAGCGTCGAAGCCATTGGAGTTAGTTCACTCCGATCTCTGCGGACCGCTTGGTGAATCGTCGAATCGCGGGTACAGGTATTTTGTTACCTTTATCAACGACTTTAGCAGAAAAACATGGGTTTATTTCTTGAAGCAGAAATCCGACACCATCGATACTTTCAAGGAGTTCAAAGCCTATGTCGAAAACCAAAGTGGGCACAAAATTCAGATTCTCCGAACTGATCGTGGCACAGAATATTTGGTTGGTGATGGCTTCTTCAAGCAATGCGGCATCAAGCATCAATTGACAGCACGATATACTCCTCAACAGAACGGAGTAGCGAAGAGAAAAAATCGCACTATCGTCGAAATGGTACGTACTATGCTTTGTTCTAAACATTTGCCGAAGCATTTTTGGGCGGAGGCGGTTGCTTGTACTGTTTACTTGTTGAACAGATGTCCCACTAAAGGTCTTGAGTTCAAGACACCGACCGAGGTGTGGAGTGGTCGAATCCCTTCAGTTCAGCATCTTCGTGTGTTTGGGTGTATTGCTTATGCCCATGTGCCAAATGAGCTTCGTAAGAAGCTTGATGAGAAGAGCGAGAAGTGCATCTTCCTCGGTTACAGCAATGAAACCAAGGGTTATCGGTTGTATAATCCGGTAACGAAAAAGGTGGTAATCAGTGGAGATGTTACCTTCAACGAGGAAGGTGAGTGGACTTGGAACATGGAAGAAAAGAAGCGTTTCGCTTTGTCCTAGATGAGGAGGAGACGGTTCGCCCGATTCAAATAGTCAATCCGAACCAAGAGCGGCTTTGGTGGAACCGGTTCGATAGCGATTCGATAGTAGAGACTTCGACACAGTTACTTCATCAAATTCTGTTGAAAATCCTATCGAAAATCTTGCTGAAAGTTCTTCACGTCCACGGCGAGAACGAGTTTTACCGGCTCGTTTGAAGGATTGTGTTTTGTCCAATGATGATGATCCTCCGATGAAGAAATTATCAATTTTTCTCTCTTTGCGATTGTGATCCGACAAAGTTTCGTGGAGGCTTCCCAAGATAATGGTTGGGTTTGCGCGATGAATGATGAGATCCACGCGATTGAGAAAAATGATACGTGGGAGCTCACATCTCTCCCGGAAGGCAAAAAGTCCATCGGTGTGAAATGGGTCTATAAGACCAAGTACAAGCCTAATGGTGATGTTGATCGGTTGAAGGCTCGTCTCGTAGTCAAGGGTTACAAACAAAAACCCGGGATTGACTATTTTGAGGTATTTGCTCCGGTTGCTAGACTGGATACCATTCGTATGATCTTTGCCTTGGCTGCTCAGAAACATTGGAAAATACACCAGATGGATGTCAAGTCCGC